TTTTTTTTTTTTTTTTGTGGTACGCAGGCCTCTCACTGTTGTGGCCTCTCCTGTTGCGGAGCACAGGCTCCGAACGCTCAGGCTCAGCGGCCACGGCTCACGGGCTCAGCCGCTCCGTGGCACGCGGGATCTTCCCGGACCGGGCCACGAACCCGTGTCCCCTGCATCTGCAGGCGGACTCTCAACCACTGCGCCACCAGGGAAGCCCCTGATGGTATTTTGATGGTGGTGGAGCGTCTGTTTTCAGTTATACCCTTACGGTTGCATCATAGCCTCTTTCTGCGACTGCGTCCTCTGCCTTCTCCTGCCAGCACTGAGGTATCTGATCATCACCCCAGACCTGCACGTGGGCGAAAGCCACGTGCTCTGTGGCTCAAAGCATGGAGCGCAGCCCTCGGAGTTTCCTTCTCCGGAGACCCTGTTCAGCTTCTCCCAGGATGTTCTGTAGTTCCCGGGGTGAGGATGTTGCTTGGACCGTGCTTGCTGGAATTGTGCGTTCCCTGCATTCCTCCTCGTGTGCCACTGTGCAGGGTGCAGCCATGTGATGGAGATGCAGGTGTGCCGTGGCATCTCCACCAACCCAAGCCTTTGCCTCTCAGCCACAGGGAGGGGAGCTCTGAAGGGCAGAAGCCCCAGTTTATTGCGTCCTCTTAAAGGCAGATGCCGGAGCCTTCTGAGGATAAAGTCCCGCATCAGTGATGATGGAATTAGGGTCTGGAGTCGGAAGTGCATCCTATTACCTTGGGCAGTATATGCTCATCGGCTGCAGCCCTAAAAGACCTCTCCACAAAGGAGGAGACACTCAGAATGTAAAATCCCTGTGGTTTCTTTTATGTTGTACGTAAAATGTACGGAGCCATCTCATCAAGAATTCTAGTACTCTGAGGCCAGGTCTTCCAGCTGACAGCGTTTCTCCCATCAGAACGTCCCAAGGAGGAGCTGTGTCTGTGTATGCCTCTGTGTGTGTGCGTGTGTGTGTGTGTGGTATGTGTGCATGTGAATGTATATGGACGTGTGTGCGTGTGTGTGTGTGTGGTATGTGTGCATGTGAATGTATATGGACGTCTGTGCATGTGTGTGGTTGTGCACGCACACGTGTGTATGTGTCTGTGTACGTGTGTGTGGGTTTGTTGATACCAAGTAAAGACCTTTTTTTTTTTTTTTTTTTTTTCTTTTGCCACACCGCAGCTTGTGGGATTTTAGTTCCCCAACCAGGGATTGAACCCAGGCCCTTGCAGTGAGAGCACCGTGTCCTTACCACTGGACCACCAGTGAGTTCCCTAAAGACACTTATATTTGCAGAGATTTTGACTCTGAGAAGCTGCAGCCAATCCGCCTTCCTCTCACAGCTGACACACTTTGCAGGCACAAGGTCCCCAGCCACAGGGAATAACAGAAGAGCAGGCCATGAAGGAGGCATTTTAGACTCTGATCAAAGTTGGAGCTGTGAGGGAACTTCCCTGGTGGTGCAGTGGTTAAGAATCCGCCTGCCAATGCAGGGGACACGGGTTCGATCCCTGGTCCGGGAAGATCCCACATGCCACAGAGCAACTAAGCCCGTGCGCCACAACTACTGAGCCTGCGCTCTAGAGGCCACGAGCCACAGCTGCTGAGCCCACGTGCCTAGAGCCCACAAGCCATGACTACTGAGCCTGCGCTCTAGAGCCCGCGTGCCACAGCTACTGAGCCCACGTGCCTAGAGCCCGTGCTCCGCAACAAGAGAAGCCACCGCAATGAGAAGCCCGTGCACTGCAACGAAGAATAGCCCCCGCTTGCCGCAACTAGAGAAAACCCGTGCGCAGCAATGAAGACCCGACACAACCAAAAATAAATAAATAAATAAATAAATAAATAAATAAAAAGTTGGGGCTGTGATCATTGTAATTTTCTTTCTTACATCTTACTGCCTTAAAATGCTACCCCCTCTGTTGAATAAACAATATTGAGTTTTAGAAGCTGAATTGGTTGGGTGGCTGAGGAAGATACTGCCTCCATGCAGCCAACTAGGTAACACTTAAAGCTATCTTAAGACATCTGGTTGGTGACCCTTTAGTTTCCTTTACCATCCTTGTTTAAATGCCAGTTTCAGAGCGAAGAGTTTATCTCCTTTTTCATTTAACACACGCATTCTTTGTGTTGTGTTGTGTGTTTTCCTCTTCAGGCTAAGGGTGAGCTGAAACATATGCTTTCCACATGCCAAGCACTTCTGGGGGGAGACTACAAGTCATCATGTCCTTAATACCCTGAGCAGCACTTTGAGACAGCTGTTGTTTTACGCCCACTTTACAGATGGGAAAGTTGAGGCACAAAGGTTTCTGAAGTTGCCAAAAAACACACAGCTGGGAGGTTATAGGACCAGTATTTAAATTTAGCCCATAGCCTAAAACCACCCTGCTACCTTGAGTATGCCTCCTGTTTCCCGAAGAGAGTATTTTGTTTTGTTTTTAATCCTTATGTCTTTAAAACACAACTTTTCTCAAGATTTACTACTTACCTGAGTGAATTTTAA